ATAAGTTATACGTTCACTGAAATCTAAAACGCGACTACAGACACGGGCATAGCGAACAAGTTGTTAAATATACACACCGTAAGAAGGGGCCAAAGGAACATCGCCGTCCAAAAAGGGAAAATAAATTAAAATAGGGAAAGAAAAGTCGTCTCATTTGTCGTAAATTGTTGTATATAGTTTCCCGTGTGAAACTGAAATATCCAAATATAGAAAAGGACACTCATTGCTGTGGGTATCAGCTTCATTTAAAGTAAGGTCCTTTGGGTAAATTTGTGCAGTAAAATTTGAAAAATCCTGATTATTAAAAGCAAATTTCCTCAAGGTAACGGTAACTGTTTTTAAATTAACCAATTGAATGTAATTTAGACGGATCTTTACTGACTTCGGCCATAAGAGGTGATTCAAAACAATACAGAAATTAAACAAATCTGCTTTGTCTTTTTGTCTTTTTTCGTTTGACTATGGTATTGCTTGCCCAATTTGGACTTAAAACTTTGATTGCTATCTTCTATTTTTTATTCTTCTGTATGCTAATATGTTTCACATGTTCATTCCAATAAAGAACAAATTAAGAAATTATGATCTACAAAAGATGCAGGGGAAATCATTATATGAATGGTGTCAACCTTACATCTTAACATTGGCTAAAAATTCCCTTTTCATTTTAATGAAATATTTTTTTTCATAAAACTACATAATTCAAATAGAATTAGATTATATCTGAGTTCATATGGGGATCGGGAAGAACTTGAATGGTTTTCGGATTGTATTTTTACAACGGATTTCCAATATTCTAAAAAAATATTAAAGCCATCCTTTTCAGATGGATGATACGTTAGAAGGCACTTTACATTTCTTTAAATCTTTTTACCATAAAAAATGGTTATATCATAATGAAAAATCCAAAATCTGTACAATTGTTGCTTCTGTGAATTACTGCTGGTTTGATGGCAAATACGGATTACAGATACAGCATTCATCAACATTTACCAGAAAGGCACACTTAGGAACTAGTAAATGCTCCTTGCAAAAGTTCGAATGTCATTTACATTTTAGTGTGTTCCGTATATGACCTCTATCAAATATTTTGACGAGTCCAAGCAGCGTGAAACGCCTTAATGCTACAGGAGCGGTGATTCATAGAAGCTATATCTTCCAATGAGCCAACACGGACTGCCATACCACAATCTAGAGGACTTCAAACACATAAGAGATATTGTAATTGAAGAAAACAATCACAGGAATTATACTCAGCAGTAGGATCGGAAAGGTTCGGGATAAAGAAACTTTTATTCTTCACTGAGAGGCCATTAACAAAAAATAATACCTGTTATTTTTCCAGATGTAATTTGTTTGTACAACATCGTCAATATATTTTGGATGATCAGCTCATTTGGGATGTATAAATACAAGTTGGAAGACCTTTGCACCTTTTATTTGCGGTATACCATCTTTTGCGCAAGTTTATTGTTTTCTGTTTAGTATTAAATTTATAATTAAGATCCATTTATTACATCGGTGATCCGTTTATTTGGCAATCGCCAATGGCAGTCAACAGGGTTTAAGAACATTTGTTGTTCGACCTGTTAGTCAAATGCGTTTTTGTTAAAATATACTTTTTCACTTTTTTGTCTTTTGGAAAATGTTGTTTGTGCTGTATTTAGACCCCTCTAACAAGAAATTTGTTTTGCATGCACGCGTATAAAAATTGCGGTTTTTATCCAACGCAATCATAGGTTTGAACGTTGTTTTCAATTTAGACTTGTTAATATATATATATATATAGACATGCAGAATTATTAATTCTAATTTTCAAATTCAGTATTGAATTTGGATGTACTCTTAAGTTCAAGACCATCATCACCGGAGTAATTTCAAACTTATACTGTCGTTGTAAAAAAGTCCGACACTGACGAAAGCCGTTTATTGCACCGAAATATTTGTTTTTCTATGGAATATGGTTTCGTCTATTTTCAATCTATAGACTTGTTTATTTTTTTTGTCAGAGACGAAAAGAAAAATATTTGCGGAAATGCTTACTGGGAAATCCTAGCCTATCTATCAATCTTTGATTTATTACTATATACTGGTGAGTTGTGTCGATTTCCCACAAACTTCCTTTTTCCTTTTCCTCTTACATTTACCTCCTACCTTCTGTCCCCGCTTTCCAACCTCCGTTTTTGTTCTCCTTTTGAGACAACTTTAAGACAATCTTTCTCCGTCGGATAACATAGGCTTAGTAACACAGAGATAATACAATAATTACTTATATATTATATATTGAGGGAGCGAATTGCCAATGCAAATCACACTGTCTTTCATCCAAAAAATATACATTATGGATAAATGAAGAATTCTGAAATTCAGTTTGTTTCAAGAAGAATGTATTAAAAAAAAACACACACACGTAGCTATTCCTTTATTACGTGAACAACATCCGAGTTAGTTAAAAGATTTGTTGCAGCTATCATGGTACAAAGGAAATATAAGATGTTGCTCAACCATAGTAGATTATAAACAAAGAAAGACAATCAATGCAAAAAATAGAGGAAGCATACCGACGGAAATCCTGTCCGATGGATTGCCAACAAATGTCATTACATTTTTTTATTATTTATTGTTTTCATTATCTCATACCACCAAGATTGTTCAAATACATTTTATATTCAGGGATTAAAAAATATAAAATAATAATTGTTGCGGCTTATTGAATCTAGAATAATCATATTTGTTATAAGAAGATTGAAAGAGATAGAGAGAGAGAGAGGATGTGGTTAGTCAAAGACGGCTTTTTTAAATGGTCGTGTTGAATATTTTACACAATTACTTTAGGAAGTGCATAAGTAATATGACATCCATCATTTCTTGAAAAATATTATTGAAAGTATGTTTCTTTTCGCACATGAAGTAAATTGGGCCCTTCGATGCTCCGAAAGATTGCTTGTGGTTCAGTAAACTAACTTTAGCGTTTTGAAAATCAAACAACAAAGCTTGTTTTGAATTATATTTAAAACTAATCACGCTATCATCCGGTCTTGGAAAAACCTAAACTAAGTGATCCATCAAAATTGATAAATCGAAAAGGAAAAACATCACAACGTCAGCAGAAAAAATCACAGACAAAAAAGTCAACAAAGAATTATTTTTACTTGTCATATTTGTAATTATCTCTTCACGAAAATTTAACTGAAAATCGGGGACTGACCTATGGTGCTTCGGAAGGATAAGCGTAACTGCTGCAGTTGTAAGAATCGTCGTGTTATTTCTGTCAAATTCAATCCATCAATTATAATGGTAAAACATCGGTACAAAGTCTCGTTTATCTTTCGTCCTGAAATACCTTTTTATTCAAACTGACACATTTGACAATATCTTAGGGTTGAGATTTAACATGAAACGCTCTGTTTAGTAATTGTTGATGTCTTAGAGTTGGACAGCAACATTTACCAATACGCCTAATCCATCGATATGACCAGAGATATTTTCTTTCATATGACATCAATGATTTTTACCCAGGTTTTAATGGTGGGGTTTGTATTGCTCAATGTTTTTGTGTAATGTTTTGTTATTGTTTTTTGTCTTTCGTCTGTTTATATTGAACGTATGGTTTTTGATTGTTCCCTTGGTGAATTCTCTTCTTTTATTGTCTTTCGTCTGTTTATATTGGACGTATGGTTTTTGATTGCTCCCTTGGTGAATTCTCTTCTTTTTTGTCTTTCGTCTGTTTGTATTGGATGTATAGTTTTTGATTGCTCCCTTGGTGAATTCTCTTCTTTTTTTTTAAGAGCCGACACAAAATAATCATCAAATTTCATCCTTTAAATTGAAAAATCATTTCGTTACTTATAACTATACCAACTTAAAAAAAATATATATGATATTTGTTCTTCAAATTTAAAAATCCCATCGTTACTAGTAGCCGCCATAAAACATTAAAAAAACTAACCTTCAAATTGAAAGGATAAGTAGTTCCAAGCTTAGTTTTAGCTAGTGAACATACTTAAAAATAAGAAAGTGTGGTATGATTGCCAACGAGATAACTGTCAACCAGAGACCAAAATGACGTAGATGTTAGCAACTATAGAACACAGTACGACTTTAAACAATGAACAAAACCCATATTATAGAAGGCCCTGACATGACAAAATGTAAACTAAAAGCCTGATTGATATACAAAACAATAAACGAAGTACAAATATTATATACAGAAACAAACGACAACTACTGAATTAAAGGGTTCTGACTTGGGAATAGCACATACATAATTTGTCGGGGTTAAAAATATTTGCAGGTGCCTACCCCTCCCCTTTTTATTTTTTCCTAGAACGGTGGGGAAACAGCACAAAGACCAAACTTGACTCATCAGATCGGTACAGAGCACAAAAACAAAAAACAAAAAATAAAAAAAAAAACAAAGTTCCGACCTGAGAGTACTCGCAATTACTGGACGCTAGTTCAAAGACATAAAAAAATAATTTAAAAAAATCGTGTATCTAAGACATAATTTTAATTAGAAGACATCCAATGGATTTTATACCTGGTAGCTTATGGACATTGTATCATTTAATTCATTCCAGAACCGATGCACTGGCTAAACATTGTTTTGACAGGTTTTTAAAAGTGGAAATCAACATGTGATAGTATTTTTTTATTTAATAGATTATATGGAAGAAATAAAAATATGGGTCATATATTGCAATTGGATATTTGCACATTGGATAAACCAATTGCTCCGGACCTCCACTAGAAATAGTATTTCAACATTATATATACTTCCTATATTTATAGGTTTTAAACTTCAAAGGTAGATTTTGAATATTTTTTTCATACATTAGTATAAAAAAGTGTGTAATATTATCATGATGCATGAAAATAGTTGAGTTTTTCAACAATCTAAGTATACATTGCATCAGAATAGCATTCACTTAAATCTTTGAAATTTGAAATTAAAAAAATTGATCCAGATGTTTCAAAGGGAAATAATCCGAAGCCATCTCGGGAATTTGGTCCAATAACATCACCGTCATAAAACAGAAGTTCATTTATAATATTTATTTTAAAGAGAGAACTATTCTGAAATATTATTTCCACTTAAGGATGTATTAAGGTATGTGTTCCTGGCAGAATACATATTACAATATAAGAGCAGATATCATAGCATTGTTTATAACAACGTTTCAAATGAACTTGTGTGTATAGGAGGAACAAATATACATTGAAACCAGAATACAATATTTTTGTTGAACCAAACAAAAAGTGGCATATTGAGGGTATGATTACAAAAATGATAGCACTCCATTTGATGAATATGTCTATGCAGTAGATAACACGGAGAAGGAGTGGAGAACAACATTTTGATTGAATTTCAAAACGAAAGTTACTTACCTAAACAAATGTCAGGTTATCTCCCTTTGCGCAGTACGTAGCTTTTATGTATATTATTTAGCAGCCAGAGATGATATAGACTATATAAACTATGGAGAAGGCATACATTCAGTATGTGGTAGAGGAAGAGTACTGCAGGCAATACAAAGGATGGGTGCTTAACTATACAGACAAGCTGATTTGAATGAAGATTGGAGTAGATCTTGATTTTTAATAAATTTGCCAGGAATCATATTATCAGCAGCATGTCTACCTCGTGCTTGGTCCAGATGAATTAGTTCCAGGCTATATTCAATTAAAAAGATTACTTCATGTTTAAATAGATTCAGATTCAATAGTTCTAATTATAAAAATACGTAAAACAGGATTAGAATATACAGAATACATGTATTAAACAAGTAAAATTATGCGCCATTCTTAAAGAATTATTAGAGATTATATAAAATATCTTAAGAAAATAATGATTGTGCAACATACCACACCAACCGCCAAAACCAGTGTCATCCGGAAAAAAAACCCAAGATATATAAACAAAGACACACAACAACAAAAAGCACATGGTCCTGGTGGCACAGGCACAAATATGTGTTTGGGTTAACAAGTCTTAGGTAAGTACAAACCTATATATGATGTTATTGATTAGTTGTTGATTTCTAAAATGTCCAGTTGCAAATATTTCATGCATATTTAGGATGAGAACAAACTTCAAATATTCGGCTTTGAGCATTCCTGATGAAGGTGAATCCAGAATAGTTCATCGAACGCATGCAATTGATAAAGTGTGGTCTTATTTTTTTTTTCAATAACTTAACCAACTTTGATAAACTTAACCGTCAACACCAAGCGACATTGAAAGAGTTAACATCCTTAGATTTTGAGAACAGTTATTAGAACTGAGGACAATAATGTCTACCGATCTACTGTTTATAAGTTTTGTCATTAATCACTTTTTATTTTATTTGTATGTTCATTTCCTTAATTGTGAATATTTTGCATCAATAAGGAGATTACAACGAGGCAGTTTTTAAGTATCTAATGTACTAATCTTCAAAATTGGGAAAAATAATTTCAAAACTCATAGCTGGCTGCGACAAATACATATGGGAAGATCTTAGCTTTTTTGTCAGATATGCTCTAGACCAAAGTTTCCAAACACAGGCACTTATCTCCGGAAAAAAATTACATATATACTTTAATATGTTTAAATAATTTTTTTTAAAAGACAATTAAGTGCCTGTGTTTCTAATGCCATTTGAAAGCATATTATTAGAAAAACGGACTAATGTCAGTTGTGACTGAGAGTATTGCAGATTTTGTTTTAGTGCATTTACAGAAAATCATGCCATCACAGGAGCCCTTACTAAAATAGGTTTCGCGGAAATACTAAAGCACTATTTTCTTAATTATGGATGAAAAAAAAAGTGTGGGTCATAATTTACAAATGGGTATGAAGCAGAGGATAACCCAATTGCACCGGACCTCCACTTATTTAGTAAACTAACCCTTAATATACTAAGTATATCTATAGATAACAAAATCACAAGCCGGATGATATTTACATATTCCCAAGAATCCATTCAATTAATTGATATAAATAATTATGTACACCTAGCATGATACATGGACATAGTCTTGTTTTTCTTGTCTAAGTATTGAATACAGTAGAATATCAAACAATAAAATGGTTTAAATTTGAATGAAGAAAAATTGATTAAACTGTTTGGAAGGGAAATAACCTGGGTCAAAATCCCAAAATAACCAATCTCGGTTTATCTATATCTATATTTAGTAGATTTAAAATTATATATAAAACATAATGAAATTTATAGCTAAAAACAGATTGATTTTTTCAAAGGATTTTAGTTTTTATAATGCTATAAATAAAATGATTTGTTGGGATTGTAATGAAGTATCATAAAGCACCAGCAACCCAACAACACAGAACAATAAACTATTTATTTGATCAGTAGCATATATTTGTCAATTGAATAAAACTGGAGTTATTCCTCTTCATACAATAGGCTCACTCTACCTCCTATTGGTTGTGTATTTCATGTGGTTTTTATTTTATTTTAAGTAATTTATAATCTTAACTTATTAATAGAAATGTTTAAGGCTAGTTTTTTTTTTTTTTAATTGAATGTTTATCATCATTATTATTTTTGTCTTCTTTGTGATTCATATTAATTGAAATTCTCTCTATGGGCCCTAAAATTTGGAATAAAAGATATTTGTATTTGTGCTCAGTTAAAAACCTAGTCCAGATAATCATAATCAATGTTTTGTTCCGATTTGGATTTTTCAAATACATTCATCATGAAGGCATCAGAGCAAAAGTTAAAATAAACGTCCGAGTTGTCATAAACATTTGGACTAACTATAAAATTCAATGAAAAAATCATAACGACTTCTATTCTTCTAATTTGAAACCGCTGCTGGTGAACTATTAGTTCTCGATGGTATCATCAGCTCAGGGGCCAGTGCTTCGGTACTGACAAGATTTATGACATATATTTCTTTAAATGTCCGTTAATAAAATAAGGAACGAAGGTAACAACTCCCTCAGGCAACGTTCTATCAGGCAGTAAAACCCATACTTAAGAGGTGCATCCGTTTGATTGTGTGGGGTGTATAAATACGCAGCCACCTCCGGTTTACAAAATGGAACGTTAATTCCGATCCCATTATAGGTATAGTGCCACGTTATTTCCAAATTAAAATCCTTGCAACGAGTTAACTCTATGTGAGATTCGCAGATTACTGTTGTTAAGTAAAACGTATGCCCCTTTAAAAAAATATCCTCATTTTCCAGTGGCAGTCAAAATTGCAGCACTCCACCCCAGTCTATCCAATTTGCTGAACAAACCTATAACTTCCATTATCTCTTTGTTCTCGTTCTGCATGAAAATTACAGGACATTAAGGAAAACGCAATCACTCAATTATTCCATTTTAAGCTAATCATGTCGTAGAAGTACACTTTTTAAATTTTTTTGTTATGACATTGAACAAATTGTTACACATGAAGAACCTTTAGTGGTACCTTTTTTGTAAATATTGATATTCATCTGTTCACCTCATTATGATCTTTTTCCGTCAGAAGAAAGAACAATTTCTGTTTTTTAAATTTTCAAGATTAGATCAGGACAACGAGTTTCCATATTCAAATTCCTATCCATAAGAAAACAAAACACAGATAGAAGGAACGGGTTGACACATTTTTAATTGAAAGGGTAATTTATAACTAATCACAGACAAAGAAAAGGCTTTTATCATCAACATCATCGAGCTGCATGTGTGATGCTGAATTTCAGACTACGGATATCGTACAGCGATATTTGTCCTAGCAAACCGCTTTTTTTCACCGTAGTTTGTCATATTGACTTACATGTACTGATCTACAACCTTATTAGACCTCAGTAAACGTTTACCTATATAAAGTACATTAAAAATGCCCTAGGTCATTTTTATAAATAGATATAGAGCTTATAGTCGATGAAATAAACTTAATACATTGATTAGGTACAAATGTATCCTCAAGTACTTCTATAAAAATAACTGGAAGCGTTGTCTATCTCATTTACGTTCTCAAGGTTTTTACCAAAAGGTTGATATCAGTTACTGTCTCTATTTTAAACAATGTTCCTTATGTCTAATTCCGAAAGAAAAACTGTAAGTTAACCTTGACAAAAACTGTTGTAAATTAAAAAAAAAGAAAATCTGGAATATTTCCGATGATTGATTGATTTATTTATATTTGCGTCCAGTGGCTAATATTTCACGCATTTTCAGGACGAGAACAAATAAACCATTGATACAATAAGTAGGTTCTGATAGGTAGGTCGACCGCGATGGAGGGCAATACATTGGGACTGCTTCAAGAAAATGAAGGTTTGTTGGATAGGGCATATATTTTGCCTTGTAACAGACAACCTACGAACCCATCAGAGAATCGTTGCAATAACATTAACGGTGCCTATTTTACTGCACCAGAAGCGCATTTCGACAAGTGATGTCTCTTCCGTGATGTTCGAGGCCAACATGTCTAAAACCAAAACCAAATAGAAACGTAGAAGAATTTTATAACAGTCATACAAATGGCTTGGCACTAACCATATACTAGGCCGCGTATTATTACATCTCGTACAACTAAACGAGGACCAAATTTAAGGGTTTTACTGCCGGACTAGTTAAGTAAGGAATAACCATATTTCTATACCCAAGTTAACCCTCGGGGTGCTTATTTAACGACCACGCTAGCTTACCAGGAAACATTTAAACATGGGGTAAATATTTTATGTTATATGTTTTACGAAAAAAAATTATTTTGACAAAATATTTGTAGCGTTAAGGTAGATCATCGGTATATATTTTTTGAGATAGAATTTTCTTATACTTTGCCAAAATGAAGATTTTACTATGCTTTTTTCAAAAATATAATAAAAAGTATGGGTCACCGTGCTATTTTTCAAGCTATGGGTCGTTGAAAATTGCCTAAATCAGGTTAGATTGTTCATGAAAAAACACATTTGTATGCATAAAAAGAAATCTATGAGATAGAATTTTGAAATAAATTGTGAGAAGATAGGTTTTATAACATGTTTTAAGAAAATAAAAAGAAAAAATGGTGTCACCGAACTTGTTTTCTTGCTACAAGTAAAAATAAAAAATTTCCCTATCAAGCCAGTGTAATTTTTTACTAAAAGAGTTATCTCCCCTTAAATGGCGTAGTTGAAAAAAATGATTCCAAAACACAAAATTTAATATTTGTTGGAATATTTTGAATAATACAATAAATCACCAAGTTTTCTTTAAATAAATAAACAGTGTGACAAATAAATTGCAAATCTGTCTCCTAATTTGCAGATTTGGGCAAATAACTAGACCGATTGTGTACTGCGATTGTACAATCCAAGATGGCGGTATACCATGAATCTACCTTAAGCCCCTAAAATTTTGTGTCATATAAGACTTTACACAGTAGTCGAAAAGCAAAATTGTCATCGCCACTGCAACAACATGTCACATTTAACAAATGCCATAAATGTCCGGGATTAATAAATATGCTGTTATGAATTATATATAGATTTTAAGAAAAAAAATGGCCAATGATGTGGAGTGTAGAATATTCGGAAGATTTCATGCCACGGTCCTTACCATTTTCAGTGAGTACCACAGTACGTATAAACAGAGGAAAGCATTGAACAAACAACAACCATAAAATACAAGTAAAAAGACTATTCATTTTTGAAATTTTTATTTTATTGGTCTAAATCTTTCAGCAATTATCATAATTATATTAACAGTTATAGTATAATAGCTTTTATATATGTGTATAACACATGTGTATTTCAGACTAACAAAGTCTGATATCTTACTGGTGCGATTTGAAAAATAATATTTATCCAATTTAGAATTTTCAAATTGTATTTGTATACCAAGGTAACCACGATTGTATCGTTATTTTACCGTAAACGCTATATGAGCGGCTCCTCTTCTGAAATCTCGACACATGTTCAATAAAACTTTCAATCAGTTTAGTAACACAATTTCAAATAAATTTTGAAATGTTTAACATGGCCGACATTTTCACTCTAAAGGTCATCAAATACAACTGGAAGTGAAGTAAAGCAGTTTGTTTTCACTCTTGTCTTTATAAAATGCTTTATATTAGTTCTGCCTCATATAAACTTTGTAATTTGCTGTATCATCATTTAAGAGTAAATAAAATTAAACTTAATGATCCATTAAATGAATTTCAACTTTGCGGTCACAAAGTTGTGGTCATTCGTTTCTGATTTTTTCAAGTCATGTTGCTAAGGGGCTAATGGGGGTATTAGGTGGCTTATGAATACAAGAAAGTACAGAAAAACATCAACAATCTTCAAACTCCAACATAAAGAAGGTCAAACCGTGTATAAAAAAAAACAAAAGACCGAGAACCCTTATGATTATTTTGTGCAAGTTGGTGTGTGTAATACGAAAAAATAGTTTTTAAAAACAGTTAAAAGTAATATTGCAAAGACATATCATTTGAACTGTTTCAGTCTATTTGCCTCATTCTGATATCAAATGAAAAATATAAATTACGCATTTTCATATTGTAGTTTTGGAAGTCAATCAAATACAAAAAAAAATCGCTTGTAGAGAATATTGATTTATATTGCTAAGCACAATTCACGGTCATGAGATTTTATCGAAAGTCATCAATGGCATAATAACATTTAGATCAATTTGAACTCGGATAACCATGTTTTAACTTTTTAATATACAGTAATTATATTCGTCACATAATAAACGAAAATCTCAAATAAAGATACTACATGTAACTTGTAGATGAAAGCGGGAAAATGTGTTATTATATCTAAAAACAAGGATTGTATCAGAGAAACTATTTGCAACATCATTGCTTTCACATAAACACACGCCAAGGTAAAGTAAACCAATGTAGTGGAATAAACCAATTTCCAAAGCTCACTTGGTAAACATATATATTATTATATCGACAGTTATTTACAGGAAAACAATTGGTTTTCATTATAAAAATTACTTGCACTAAATTCTTAGTACACGATAAACAATGAATAAAGACAAAGCAACATTCTCGTAGGCGAGAGAATCTTTCTCGTGCCTAACCAAACATACAAATTGAAATTCACAAAGCAAATACACAAGAAATTATCGACAGTTCTCAATCCTGTACATTTCAACAACAATGACAACGCACAAGAATACAGAAAATCTATTGTCTTAATCCACTATGCAATATTGGTAAAAGACTGATGATAAAGATATCTACAAAAATACCTGAAGCAAGATATAAACCCCAATCCAAACTCATCTTTGTTTGAAAATCAATAAAGACGAAATTTATCTGAATCTCGAGGAAGCTACAAAGTACGAAAAAAGCAACAAAACAGTTCGACGGAATTGACGACTTACTTGTATGACTGTAGCAAAAATGTCTTTTTCTTCACAATTTTTAAACAGCTCATTAAGCGAACATTCCTTTTTTGCGTTCAAAGAGGGGGAGGGGGATTATTTTTTTTTCTCGGGACATACATTTTTTCGACTTTCACGAAACAAAGCCAATATTTCCCATATTATACAGGAACAAGAAATAATTTTTGAAACGTTAAATTTATCAATTTGTCCCCTCATTTTCGATGGAACAATCTATTTTACTCCCTTCTGAGACTGAGAGTTTTTTCTTCAAGGAATTACGAAAAATTTAATTGCAGATCCTGTTATACTAAAAATTTATTTTTTCTTTATGACCATGTGATCTTTTCTCATTTCTTTGCGTTCTTTTTTACAAGCATTTTGGTTCGAGTGATATTTCGAAACCGCCGAGTCAAAGAGAATTAAAGTTAGCAGGAATATTTCTTTGGAGGCACGCATTGACCATCTAAATTCAATAAGACTGCTAGTGTTAATAATGCGTTCTATTTGGTTGAAATTCATAAGATTTTTTTTTTCTTAATGTGTAATATTTTTTAATGAAAGTTTGGCTTAATATCAATGTGTAACATGTTATTTTTTATTAAAATGCCTCTTATGTTTAACCTGGAAATTTACTGAGCATGTCTGTAATGTTGGCGGCTGACTCTTTAAAAGTCGTCAACAACAATCCTATTTCCAACGCATTATAAGTCCGGTAGTATAATGTGAATAAAATGAGATGTGGGAATATGCCAATGACTCAGAAACAAAACAAAAAAACCCAAAAAAACAAAGGTATGTATATACCTTTGTTTTTTTGGCTTTTTCTTTTTGTCTATTTGGTATGGAATGTTCTTCAATAGGAAGAATTATAATAACCTTTTGGAAATAGTGAAATAGTGTCAAACTGCTCTGATATTTATGTGTCTAAAAGTACGATTTAAAAAAAAACAACATATTGAATATAGACTATAGAGACGGTGTAAAATTAAAAAAAAAATGCTGAAAATTATTTCCTTACCAATGCATTTTGTAAAAGTATTAATAAAATATCAATTTCAATGACAAACTATTTAAAACTATGACTTCAAATTTCGTGACAGTTTAAAGTAGATTTAACAAACTAAACGACCCATTGCTAAGTATTTACGTTGTCCACTCAGTGGTCATTTTATTACATTTCTATAATAAAATTAAGTACCTGTGAAATTTTTTAAAAAAGATTGTCGTAAGAGGATATCTTTAACCCAATAAGTGACATGAAATGACGTATTCGGATACTAAGAATACTATTTAATGTTTTTGTTTTCCTTATTAAGACTACACAATAGTTACTATCACCATTTGTCATTGTTTCTAGATGTGGGCAGCTACGTCATCTTTTCCTTTCAGTCGTAATGTTACGAATTTATCACCATATTGCAATGTTTTGTAAATCTGTTTACTATGCTTCTTTCCAATAACTGATTTTTTTTTTCGTTCACTGTAATTTCAGGAAAAATGTTGCAGAAAAAACAATTTCAACCATTAATTGTCGTCAGGTAATTTCATGCATGGAGGAACTTTAGAAAGCCAACAAAACAGATGAAAACACCGTGAATGCAAATTCAGAAGAAGATAATACAAAAACAATATAAATACATTAAGCAACAAAATTGTATGCTAAAAACCAAGCCCTTTTTTTTAAGAAAAAAAAAGAAAAAAATGTAATGAAGCGACTGAAATGACATATAAACAATGACTCTGTTGAAATCCCTCCATTGACTGCAGACCGTTTTCTTGCATCAATTAAATCAAAGAATATCTCAGTAGTCTACAATATGAATTTCATTTCTTGTGGGTGGCATGGTTTTTAAAGTTTTTAAAAAACCAATGAAAATTTTGAGTTTAGAATAAATGTTTTTTCTGCTTGTTATTGAAAACATATTTGATAGGGTTCTTTTTTGCTGTTGTTTTTATTCAAGTTGAAAAACGTCGTTTGGACAAAGAAAAAGAAACATGCCCCCTCCCCACCCCAACAAAAGATGAATGCCTTAACTGATAAGTCATTGGCAGATAAAGAAAATATTTTTCTTTCCTTTCAACAAATATGTATGTTGCGATCTAGCATCTACCTGAATATGTATTTTGCGCCAATTTAATGTGTATTTCATGAACTAGTAGTCAGATGCCAACTTTATGCAAGTGCTTAGTTTTAATAATATCTCACAGGATATTCCGACCGATAAATAGATTGATTGAATCAGCAGATTCCAAAATATAGGAGTATTCAAATCAATTAAAAGATACTATCTACTCAGTAGCAAAGTTTTGTCTTCACGAACCCAAAACTAAAACTGCAAACTTCTGGCATATCTCCGTCTTAGATCTTAGTTTTGACATGCACACTGTGTCAGTAACTATTAGGTCACTTTTCGTCCCTTTTTTTTGTGATCTGGATTAAATTGAAGTAACATTTTTTTTCCTGTGTTTCTGTGTTTCTTTTTAATTGGTGTATTTTGTATCAGTTGAAACTTTTTAGCTTGTATTTTTTTTTTCAATTTATGTTGTTAATAGATATAAGAAGATGTGGTATGAGTGCCAATGAGACAACTCTCCATCCAAGTCAAAATTTATAAAAGTAAACCATTATAGGTCTTCAACACGGAGCCTTGGCTCACACCGAACAGTAAGCTATAAAGGGCCCCAAAAATTACTATTGTAAAACCATTCAAACGGGAAAACCAACGGTCTAATCTATATAAAAAACGAGAAACGAGAAACACTTATGAACCACATCAACAAACGACAACTACTGAACATCAGATTCCTTAGCCTTGTAAAAGGCAAAATAAACACCATTGCATTGTTATTTATAAACATAAAAATACTAAGTATTTACATTTTTTTTCTTCATTTTTATTGTATATAAATAAATTCGTAAATGCAACAGTTAACAATGAAAGATAACATTTGTAAATAATAAACGAAAGTTGAACACAAAGAAATGTATAAATAACGTCTCGAAAGTTGTAAAAAGTAATTGCACAAGTCCAATGTGTTAAGTTAATAGGATTTGTAAAATAATGTCTCCACCAAGTTGATAGCACCAAAATACGAAATTGAAGAGAGGTTCTTGTTACAGTTTAAGCACAGTGTTAATGTTTCTCTTCGTGGCTGTTTATTTTCTCAGAATTCTTTGGATAATGTTCTTTCTTTTCTTGTGTTTTAGAGCTGCCAACAAGACATTTTGAAACACTTCATGCCCACAATTCTTATTCAAAGCGGAAGAGTCAACAAAAGCGTCGGCTTGTATCTGTTTAGCGAATTCAAGTCCTTCTTCTTTTGTTACTGGAATATCTTCATCAAAGTTCAACGAATTTCTTTGATCAGCATGAGTAGCTACAAGAATGATTGGGAATTTATGTCCAAGAAAACTCTGAATTTCTGGAAGCCAGGTGTCTTTAATATTTTGAAATGATTTTCTGTCTGTTGCACTGTAGCACAAAACAAAAACATCACTGTCTTTGTATGCAAAATGTCTTAAATCTTTGTGTTCATTCTGAAAATACAAAATAAAAGGAATATTAAGTACTTGGTACATTTTAGTATCATGCATAACAACAATTATTTTGTGTGTGATTGTTATTTTACAAAATATTTTTTCGTTTTACTTTATCTTAATATTTAGATAACGAAATTAATGATTATTAACAAAATATCGATGCATTCTAAAACAATGGCATTAAAAAGTTAAAAAGTGTATGAGACCTATTTGACCTTGCATGACAAATAACTAATTAAATGCAGAAAACCAATAAATATAACACAAATTACTAAAATTAAGAAATTAAAAAGTCAAGAAGTTTCTCTTACCTGACAAGAGCAATCGAAAATTCCAATAGTGTGTGTCTCGTTTCTCTTCATTGACACTGTGGCTGCGTAACTATCAAATACAGTAGTGTCATCTGTTCTCTGAAGCTTCTTACAGCAGAATCTCGCCAAGGATGTCTTGCCAGTTGTTTTATCTCCTACCAGTGTACACTGTACAATACGTTTCTCTTCGGCTACAACCATTGTTAATCTGTGAAGTGATTAGTAGTAAGTATAAATTTGTTATGATCAAATGAAGTGATCACTGTCATATTTATACCCTTGACCAACTCACTGTTGGTTTATACCTCCAGCAATGCTGATATTGTTTTTATTTTCACCACAGAGTCAACACCCCTAGCTGAGTGGTTTTCAATAGCTTTGTGTTGGTTTTTCTCCTGTAGAACATTATCCAATATGTCATTTAACAGATATATATGTAAAAGAGAAGTGTTTCACGTCATTAATCCCTTTGAACCCAGTTAACACCTTACTAACAGAGCTTTAGAGATTAACCATTGAGAAACGGAATACAATATGTCATCTCTGGGGTATTGGGTATAGACTTCCCCAGATCAATGCAGGGGACACCTAGTGCAAAATCGCTCCCACAAGTTTAATGCAATACAATCATGCTGGAGGGATAGAAATTTGATATAGAAATGAAAATAAATATCGCTAAATTGAGTTTTAATGATACATTGTGTAGTCTGGACATAGTATATCACAAAATTCCAATCTCTGCCCACTGGTCAACTAAAATGAATGATGAAGATACATGTATATTGAAAACAACTATGTTACTTATTTATAAAGTTGGAAAATAACATGTTTTTCCAGATTCATTTTGCCAACTATTTAAAAAAAATGTTTGCATATTTTTTTTCAAATGGATCTTGTTTATTTGTAAATGCACATTTCTTTTCCCTGTAGGTTTATGAATAAAGTTTCATGTGCGAACAAAAACTAGCGTCTTCATGTTTGCTTCCATATTTGATCTTAATTTGATTGATTGTCATCGGAATTATTATTTTTAGCATAAAAAAAAAATCACCAACAAAAACATTATTACTTGAATATTTAAAAAATCCAAAATAGATTTTTTGAATTTTTATTCAATAGTTAGAGCTTTTGCATCATTTTTTCTTACATTATTTAGGAGAATATTTTCTTTACATGTTCGGTAGGTAAATCCTCAAAGCCGATGGATATCTTTTGGATTTACCTCCTCGATTACTTTCATTTGGAATGATTTCTTTTTCACCACTTGTTCATTTCTATACAGATATTCTGTTCCGTGTTTAACAATGTGATATCAACATACTCTAAAAAAAATATAAATAATGTTAAATGATTTAACGAGGAATTATTTTAAGTTACTAAAATTGAGAATGGAAACGTGGAATGTGTCAAAGAGACAACAACCCGACCAAAGAGCAGAAAACAGCCTAAGGCCACCAATGGGTCTTCAACACAGCCAGAAAATCCGTCACCCAGAGGCGGGCTTCAGCTGGCCCCTAAACAAAAATGTGTTCTAGTTCGGAGAAAACGGACGTCACACTAAACTCCGAAACATATAGATGAACCAAAATAGAAAAAAATACATACAAGACTAACAAAGGTATATAAATATACTAATCAAAATGGTAAAAGCCAATATTGATATGATTATGATATTATATATATTCTCCATACGAATTAACGTATTCTTTCTAGTAAACTTTGACCAAAAGATTTTTATTATTATGTCATTTTGAAGCCAAAAAATGTCTGTACAAAAACTCCATCCTTACGTTTTGCACTGCACGGACGTCTACAGCAGCTCCTTTCGGTCTATGAAAGGACACCTATACGATATCAAATCATGGTCCACACAGCTCAGAATTGTTTTTGATACATTATAATAAAATATAATGACGTATGTTATACATTTGAAAATTTATCAATATTGCTGACAGAAGTATATATTTTGCTCGTTCAAATCATAACAAATATAATACCTTTTTTTGATATAATTATGTGTACTTTTAGAATAAACTTTCTTTGTTGTAAAGATAAAAACATGATGGAGTATAGATTGATGGAGATCCGGAGACTGGTATTTATGTCCTTGTTTGTGGTAAATAAACATATCAGTTTTATTGACAGTTTGTGCCAGATCTCAGCTGGGGTGGTATACATTCCGCGCTTTTGTTTTAATATATTTAAAGTATTCTATTGTATCTATAAGTTGACCTATGTTGATATGGTTGTATTCCAAATCAAATGTCAGCTTGAAGACAGTATGTCTGTATAAGGAATTCGATATGACCCTATTTATATGTACCATAAACTACGTAAACCTCAAAACAAAGAAGTATGATCTTTGTTTCAACAAACAGTTTATAATTAGGAACAACATTGTTATTTTTAGGGTTAAATTTATTCAAAATTAACGAAGTACGACTTATTATTAAAGGGTAATTTTCTGCTGACAACAACATATTTTTCAGCTGTAAAATTTTCGTTTTCTTTATAGATAAATCACAAGAACGTCAAGGCCTTTATGGCAGAGGGAAGCAAATAGGATTTTTTTAAAAATTTCTGATCACTTCATATCTTTTTAAATTCAAAAGAACGCGTTCATATGAGGATATTTAGGCCTGTGCAAGCTCCAATTAAGTGATCATGAAGTAAAACATGTGCAATACAAAGAAATTGCGTTTGAAAATGCAGATGGAATAAATTTATAATTTATAGGCAAATATTTAAGATTATTTAGCAGGATCTTCCATATACATGTACCACGAAAAATCGTTTCCATGACACTGGTATCATACGAAAACTTTAGA